AGACTCTCGGCTACGCGCGGAGCCGGAGCTCGCTCTCCTATTTACATTCGGCCTGCCCTGGGCCTAAGCGAGAGGCCAGGCAGAGCTCACTCGCGGCTTCTGTAGCATTTGCGCTGCAGTTCCCCATCGGCTCCCTCCCCTCCCAGCTTTGCAAGACGTGGGAAGAAGGAGCGAGTGAAGATAAAAGGGAGCTGCGTGCGGAATGAATGTGCTCACGGGTGGCTTTCGGTGGCGGAGCAGAACCTTGTAAATGAGAGATTTCCGTTCACAAGACTCCACTTGCACCGTTCCTGTCCTGCCCTTGAACTGCCAGGCGAAATCTAGGCGTCGTAACCAGAAATTAAATCAAATCAAGCCTGCCTGCCTGCCTGGCTCCGGGAAAGCGCGGGCGAACAACGCTTGGCTCCGTTGCTAAGTGCTGAGAAGTGGAAGGTTTCTGCTTCCAACCCCGGCCAAGCCGGTGGTCTGTTTGCCAGGCACTGTTTACTCGGCGCGCCTGTACAAATGCGTTCCCTGTTTACTAGTCAGAGCCTGGCCCGGAGGGTCTTATTTTTACCAGCCTGCCCAGAAGAAGTTGGGTACCGGCAGGATTCCTCCGGTTTGGTGGCATACCGAGGGGTGGGGGGACATAGACGTGACCACGCCCCTTAAAATGAATTAAGAACAGTTTCTGTTTGGGGCCAACCATTTGGAGTCGCACACCGGCGGCAGGCACGTTTTAATAAAAAGTGCCCAGGAAAGCCTGATTGTGATTAAACGAGGCAGAGCTTCAGACCCACTCAAGCCCATGACTCTGCTGATGCGTCCCCCACCCGCCATGGGGCAGCAGCAAACAGGCCCAGTGTCCACACCTGTCCTGGCATGGGCATGGTGGGACCTACTGGGCCTCCTGCTACGCACCCCAGCATGCTGTCTCTCTTACTTTATTTAAATTTATGGTGGGGGCTGGGGCTGGCAGGGCATACACATGGTTGCAGATGCTCCGTTTAGTGTGTTTGTTTTAAAAATAGATTCTTTTCTACAACAAAATGGTGCTTATACACAAATATGTGTTCAGCATCAAGGCAGCAGTAGCAACTTCCATTTTATTCCAGCATTCAGGATGGTGTTATAATTTAAGTGAATTTAAAATGCAAAACTTCACTGGTCTGAAGTATTTGTTTTACTAGAACTGGCAAACAGAACAGGAACTAGAAGCAGCTGCAAAGCATGGATGGCTCCTGCCCTGAAAGACGACCTAAAAATATTTAAAATAAATAAAATGGTAGTGAAGGGCAGGAAAAGAAATTACAGTCATATGTCTCATATCTTATAAAACACATTGTAGCTGTCTGAAACCCACCCTGCAGTGCAAGGTCTAGAATTACTTACCTGAAAAGCTCATGAAAAATCTAGTCCACCAGAACCATCACTCCTACTTTCCTAAATATTGGTGGCTGGGTGCTCAGTCCAGCTTGAAAATCACAGCTTCTGACCAGCAGCATAGTCCCAGATGTGCTTTGACTGTTTTTGAAGTGTGGAAGTGGAAGAGATGGGTAGGTGGATGAGATTTTCTTAATGATGAAAGAAAAGCACTGCCGAGAAGAGAAAGCATCATTTTTAAGAAAGTGGATGATGTAATCAGAGGCTCTTCTCCTTTATTGTGCACAACTATTATAACCAGTCAAACAGGCTTTGCGGGTTTTTAAGGAAGGACTAAAACCTGAAAAACCTGGTTGAACTGATACAGTGCTAGGACTGGGTGTGGACTGGGGAGAGCCAGTGAAGCTCTACTGTACTACTTCCAACTTTCAGGAGTAGGAGAACATCTGTCTCCAGCTCATATACACCAGTTCTGAGCCCAGATATTGAAACAGGTGCCAGTGTGTTTAAGTGCTGCTTCCAAGTCACCCTTAAGTATATTCCCTCCCCTACCTCAGTGAAAGTAAGTGGTCTTGAGATGAAGATTCCAAACTTCTAGTCTTACAGATCTACTTCATATTTTGACAATGTCCATCTGTTTACTGCCTTGCCAAAGTGTGATCTATTACCCAGACAGGTAATTGATGGTTGTTGGACTGCTCAGAGAACCCACATTGCTTCGAAGTAGAGTTCATTAATTTCAGTAATAATTTCAGTACAAAAAACAAACAAACCCAGCACCCCATTCCTGAAATTCCATAGCCATGAATATACATTATTCCAAATAAATAGTTTTGCTTTCCATTTTGAATTGCACTATTTCAGCAAAGTGGTAGGATCAGGCTAGTAAGGTCAGAGCCCTACTTTTTGGGCAGTTCACCTTTATGCTTCCATGTAACTGTGTTTCAGCTGCAAGAGTGTCAGGAACTTAAGGCTTCAGTTCAATTAGGATGCAGTGGGAGCCCTTTAACCCTTCTGGGTTAGGAAGTCAAAGCAAACACTGACGGAGAAAGAAATTAACACCTTCAGCCAAACTGCTGGCCCACATAGGTTGTGCTTTACTGCTGAGGCCTTGGGGCGAAAACCCCTGCACCCATTTTTTTTTTTTTTTGAAAGACTCAAAATCAGCTCTCTCACAACTCCTCCATCAGACCCACAGTAATCCGATTAGCCCCCACCACATTTAAAGAAGAAAGTGCCTGGTGCCTGCTGCTTACTTTTACAAAAGCAGACAAAGGTCTAAAGGCAAGGCCTCTAGGCTGATGGGAGGAGGTTGATGTTTGTTAATGTTCAACCCGGAGCTAGATAGCAGGTTCCCTGCATTTCCGCTATCAAAATCAGCACCAAAGTTGGACTGCGCTTCCAACTCTCTCTTTCTCCCTCTCTCACATACATGAGTGTATATATAGGACAAAAGTAGGCCTCTCTTAAGACAAGTCACAATCCTCTTTCTCCCTTCCCCCGGTTCCGGAGTTCACACTTAGAGGCCCCTTTGAAACCTCTTAGAAATAACTGAACTACCCCAGAACAACAATAGGACTTACGAACTCTCATGCTCTGTCTTTCTTATCAGGCAACATGTTTGAGGATCACTGCCCTGTTCTATACAGGTTGGTCTCTCTCTTTGTCTCTCTCTGGTCACAGACTATAATAAATAGATTTTATTTGAAGGACTGCAGCCCATTAGGCTTTTGGAGATAATGTCTTTCTAGACACCAGACTACAGGGGAGTCACATTTGCATTTCAAGTTGGTGATGGGATTTGACAAACACAGTTCTCATTATGTGTGTCTGGGAGGTGAAAGAGCAACTGCGACCCGACCTGGGTGCCTTGGTAGCAGAAATCAATGGTCTTGAAAAGAACAACTGGAGAGCTTCTGAAAGATCCATAAGCACAAATGGAAGACTTGGACCATTGCAAATGTTAACAGGCAAAGCAACAACGTCACTCATGCATCTCCTGAGTTCATCAGATCAGAGGTCAGAATTTTCCTGACCTAACCTGTCATAAACAACCAAATTGGACCTTTCACAGTGGTAGGTACACTTCTCAGGTTGACAGATCCACCACTTAATTGACAATCAGATGCAGACCCAATAATAAAGAAATCAGTTTCTCTTTATAGACATGTGTATTGAGACCTGCTCAGAACATTATCACATCACCAGTTTAGATCCAAAACACATTACTAGGAAATAATGCACCTGAAATCACTGTGTACAAACATTCAGCCCCAGTTAAGATAGAAATGATTGCATTCATGGTGATTTATTGATTTCTGATTAGGATATGGTTCTGGGTGAAAGTCTGTCAAATTCTGCATTTTTCTATCCCTACAGGGAAATACCTAGTCTTCTTTAAAGCAGATTGCTACAAATCCCTTGCAGGCAAGGCAAAACAAAACTCTTAGCAAGTAGTAGTAATAGAAGGAGGGAGGGAGGGAGAGAGAGCACGCGCGCGCACCCCTCTGCCCTGCAGCAGATTTACAATCTCATATATTGTGTTTATGTTTCAATGTTGGGGAGGCTGATCTCAGTGGTGGTTTCTCTGCTTCTTAATCACGGGCAAAATAAGCCACCGAGGCCTTCTTGCCTTTCTGCCCGAGCAGCTTCGCGGCACCACGATATGCAATTAACAGTCTCTAAAACAAGCGACCACAACACTGAATTTCATTCGCAGACTTTACAACAACAACAATAGGCTAATCAACAACACAATTCTTAGCACCTCTGGCAAATGTGACTGCGCGATATACAGCAGGGTTTGGGGGGCTGCACTGAAGGGTGAGAACGATGCTTTGGAACTGATACAAGGGGTTGCTGGTTCCCCTTTTTGTGACCACATTTCCAGGCAGACTTCTCCGACGGCTGTGGCATCTTCAGGCAGCAACTCTTTCCCTTCCGTCCAGCCCAGCCCCCTCTCATTCATCGGTAAAGGTAATGGGTGGAGAGGAAGTGAAAAACAACGTCAAACCACCAAATGCGTGGGAGGGGGGAGAAGCACGAGGGAAAAACTGGCAGATGCACAGCTCGTAGCGAGGAAACGAGCGCCACTCGGGCCCGGACAACCTCTGATCCACAGCTTTGCCCCGCCGCGGGATCCGGATTCAAATCGCGCCGAAGCTAAAATGTCATTTTGAAAGGAATTTTAACCATTCCTAACAAAGCATCATAATGCTCACAGGACTCGAGGAGGGTGCTTGCAGGGTGCTCCCCGTTTACGAGGACACAATCCATGTTTATCTACCAACTCGTTTCTCTGCATGAATCCTACTTGGGCAAGAAGAAGCTCAGACCCTCCGGCGCGATCCCATTGTGGATCTGCCTGCGTCTGAAACGGGGCTAAACTTTCCGGCGGGGCTCCCTTCCTCCTCCTGGGGAGCCGCTTCCCTTCCTCGCTTCGGAGCCCTCTGGCTTTCCCATCCCTAGGGCGGCCGGGCGGGGGATGGGGCGCAGGGCGGCCGGCCGCGACCAAAGTTTTCGTTTCGCCCTCCTGCCTCCCGCAGCGGCTCCCGCCCCTCCCCCACCGCAAGCCGCCTGACATTTTAGCGAGCGAGCGAGCGAGCGAGAGAGAGAGAGAGAGAGAGAGAGAGAGTGCGGGCGCTCGCGCGGGGTGGGGGCATAGAAAAGTTGACACGGCGAGGAGAGCGAGCGAGCGAGCGAGCAGAATAAGAACCGGGGTGAGCGAAAGAAGGCAGGGAGACCCACCGAGCTAATAATAGTGTCCAACGACCAAAGGGGGAGTCTTTAAAACGGCCCGACAAAGCTGCGGAGAAGGAAGTAGAAGCCGAAAGGGAAGGAGGGGGAGGCGAGGCGAGGCAGCGCCATCTTTTCGAGTCACACAGTCCCGGAGATTTGAGTGCTCACTCCCACTGCGGCTGCCTTTGACTCGCGCGCCCGCCCGCCCGCCCGCCCGCTCTCGGCCCGGCGGGCGACGTCCGGGGAAGGCTGCAGCCGCCGCACCAGCCTCCCGCGCCCGCGCTTCCTCCCCCTCCGCCCGCCCCGCTAGTGCGGGGCTGCTCCCAGAGTAGCTCATGCTGGAGGCTGCTCCGAGCGAGCCTCCCTCCTCGGCTCCTGCACGACCCCTCTTTGCCCGGGCCCTGGCTAGGCACTGCCGCAAACAGCGGGAGGCCGCGCCGCGCCGGGCCTACGGGCGGCTCTGGTCTCAGGCGCAAAGCAGGAAGGAGCGCGCTGGGCCCTGCTCTCCTCTCGTCGCTTCCCCCCGCCCTCGCCTTCGCCCCGAGCGCCATTTGGCCCCTTCCATTCTCACCCGCAGGCGGCGGAGGCCCCTGGCCTCTGGAGAGCAGGCGCGAAAGGACAGCCAAGTGGCAACTTCCCGCTTGGGAGACTCGTCTTCGCGCCCTTTTCGGCTTAGCCCTCTGAGTCAACAAGAGTATCCTAGCTACCGGGGGAGCACCGGGTGCTTTAGATTGTTTTCTCTCCCCTCTCCGCCCCCAACCCCAGGCCCGCAGCGGGCGGCTAGAGTTGCTGCCACCTGGCTTTGTTTCTAGAGCCTCTTCCCACCCTTAGGGCAGGTTTCGCCGCACCGCGAGCTCTGGGGCCCGCGCCAAAGAAGACTCAGCAGCGCCGATTTCCAAAGAAGAGAACAGCTTCCTTGTCCCGCCGCCCAGGACGTAGCCAAGTGGTGCTGGGGGGCGGGGGTGTCGGTGTACCTCAGCTCGCCTCCGCCGGTTTCGCTTTGTTTTCCCACCCTCCCCAGTTGTTTTATTATCTTAGCACCGTTTAAACCAGGAAGGGAGGCTTTCCATTGTGCTTGGCAGAATCACCTGCCTCTTGCGAGATGCTGCCGAATGGCGCTTCCCGCGGCAAAGACGAGCGCGCCGGGGCTGTGCACTGCTTTGGCACGGAGAAGGCTCCCTTGGGCCTCGCGCGCGCTCGAGAGCCAGGGGTAGGCAGGGAGCCCATTGGCATCCAAAGCACTGGCTCTCCCGGCGGCGCCCGGGGAAACCTAGCCTCGCTTGCTCTCGCTCGCTCAGTCTGGCAGCTCTGCCTAGCACACAAGCAAGCGCGTTGCCGCCTCGCAGACCTGCTGATGCGGGAGCAGGCAGAGGGGGAGGCGAGCGAGAACGGAGCGGGAGCAGCGCCTGGCGAAGGGGGATTTGATGGGTGGTTGGCTGTGCTTCGGGAGGGGAGGGAGGTTGGCTGCGCCTGGTAATGAGGGATTTGAGGGAGAGGGAAGGGCGTGTTGGTTGCGCCTGAGAAAGGGAGGGCCGCCTGCCTGCCTGCCATTAGCAATGGGACATCTGAGGCGGGGGCGGTTGCGCCTGAGGTTTTTTATTATTATTATTATTGGGGGTGGGGGGGGACTCCTCATCCCGGAGAGGCAGGAGGCGTGCCTTCTGTTTCTAATAAAGGAAGCGAGTTTTCTCGAAGGAAGGTGCTGCCGATGGGGGTTGGTTAAGATGATGGAGGTGTTGGATGCCTTGCTAGGGAGTGGGGTCCGTGTGTGTAGAGTCTTAGAAATGAAAAGACTGCCTACACCTAGACAGAGAAAGAGAGATGGAGGAAGGGAAGAAGCTCTGAATGCGCTGGGGGGGGGGGTTAAAGCGGGTGCCCCAGGGAAGGTGGATTTGCTGCTGATCGTTGGGTGCTCCGCTGAGAAGGGAATTAATAGTTTGCAGATTCGTGCTGGCCACTCCTCGCAAGAGGGGATTTCCAGGGAGACCTTTGCTGTCCCCGTAAGAAAGGGTGTTCCATGCATTTTAGCTACCTGCCTGAGGAAAACGAGATTGGCACACGCACGCGTGTGTTTCTCTGTGTGTGGGTGTCTTTGTGTGTTGTGCGGTCTGTTGGCTGGCCCCCGGTGGAAGAAGGGCAGCCACCGGCGTCGGGAATGTTTGGCCGTGGCTTGCCAAGAGGGGATTTGAAGTGCGTTCTGCGCGGGGAGGCGTCGGGCTCAGCCTCGCCAGTTGGGATTTGAGAGGGGCGGTAGGAAGCACGTCTCCTGTTTCTAATAAAGGAATCGGCTTTTATTGAAGGATAAGCGCAGGCAACCAAAGTCGTGTGGGCTGCAGCCGCCGAACTTCGTTAGCTGCTAATCTGACTGCCAAGATGAAAACCTTTCGCGATCGTTTGAAAGACGGCAGGAGCCTGACACACACGGCGAAGGCAGCAGCAGCAGCAGCAGCAGCACATACCCTCTACGCAAACAGAGCCCCCGTCATGCCCCTTCTAACGTTTGGGGGACTCGTCTGGCGATGGGGAACATGGAGGTGCAGTCCCTCCTGGTGGCTCCAGCTTTGGGGGATTGCCAAGCTTTCTGTGACTTAGGGGAACTCTGGAGATGACTAATCGCACGCCAGGCTGAGGTTTACAGGGGCTTTCTTTTCTCGTCACCAGAAGTTGCTGACCCCGCTTGCTCCAAGAAGGGAGCTGCGACGGGCGGCTTCTGAGAAGGGCGAACAAGAGCCCGTGTCTGGCTCACGGGAAATTCCCTCGCGAACACCCGAGGGAAAGCGGAGCAAAACCAGAGGGCGGGGGAGGGAAGCTTTCTTCCGCTGCAGGGCTGGTAAGACGAAGGCTGAAAGCACGTTTACTAGGCAGTTAAGTCTCACCGAAGTTAGTGGGCCTTATATCTGGATAGAGGTGCACAGGAAAAGCTGTAGAACTGCAGCTCGATGCTCTCTTACTCAGGCGTAAAGTCCCGGTGCCCTTGAGTATCCTTTCCTGTATACACATTCATTTGAAAGTTGAAACCCTGCAACCTTAAGAGAGAACTCTCGTTCATTTCAAAAGGGCTTGGTTCATACCAGCGGCTTGACTTTAAGGCAGGCAAGCCGCACTCCCAACACGTGCAGCATGTCCATGTCCATGAGGAAGGAAGTCTGATTGCGTTCATTAAGGCCTACTCACTAGTAAGTGGGCTGAGGACATGCAGGTCATTCTGATTTCGTATATCTGAATCTATGTGCATCTATTTCCATCTAGGCATGCTTACTTGGAAGGGAGTCCCATTGAAATGAGAGGCATTTGAAATGTCACTCTTGAACACTGGGTGTTAAGGCTGCACCGTGAGACTTGATTGTGCATGAGTCTCATTTAATCATTCCAGGAATTTTTTTCAGGGTGAATATGCATCTGCTGGGTTGGCCTGTCTCATGCAACTCCCATAGCCATTTACTTCCAAGATAGCACATTTGGGAGCACCATCCCAGCTAGACCTTTATTTGCTACTTAGTCTCAGTTAGGCCAATGGAACTATTTCAAGATTTTTTTTCTTTTCCAGGGCAGGATGCTAGTTTGCTGCCTCTTGTCTCCTTTACTACCCACTGGGGTTGATCACAAATATTCATCCATTGACTTCAATAGCTTCAGAATCCATGTGGCTTCCAAGATTATTTGTTTCCACTGCATTTCACCAGATGGTAATCTCCACTCCAGTAGACCAGGGAAGCTTATGCTGCCATAAATTCATTAGTCTTCTCTGTGTACCTGATACCTTTTTTATCTTCACTATGGAAACGCTGTGGAAATCAATGTGACTGTATGGAATTTAGAAAATACGTAGCATTCAGGTTCACTACCTCTTAAATGTGCAGGAAGCTGCACAGGCCTTCTCACCCTTATAACAACTCTGTCTCATAGAAAGTCTACTAGCAGTAATACTGAGTTCAGACCATTGACCCAAGGAGCTCAGTATTTTCTGCTCTGAGGATCAGCGGATCTCCAAGGTTTGAGGCAAGAGGTTTTTTTAGCCCTATCTGGAAATGATTGTCAGGGATTGAATCTGAGATCTGCATGCAAAGCATGTGCTCTACCACTTTTGAAGTAAGTAGGTTTAATTTTGTGAATGTGCCCTGGTCCATCATGTAGTTGCAATCAATCACTGGAGTGCAGAGTTGGATGCCAATTGGCTTTACCTCAGAGTAATGCATTTAGGCTTGCCCTGCAAGTCAAGTCAAGCCAAGCTGAAGGAGGTGTTACGCAGATGAACACCTAGCTTGGCTGCAATTGTCATATCTATTTTGCCCTGTCTCGTCCTGCTGTCCTTTTGCTGAGAATGCACACGGTCATAGAAACAAGTGTGAGTCGTTCTTCTCCTCTTTGATGGCGCAGTCCATAAATTGTGATGTTGAGAAGAAAGCAGCCTGGTTTTTAACCTCTAAGTTAATGTGGTGGAGGAAGAAAGCAAAGCACTCTACTGGGCCCCTCAGCCTAGGACTGTGTTTTCTTTCTAAAGGCAGCCAAGGCCCTGGTTCTGCTTAAAAGGTCCCTGCGTGTTGACACTCCTGCCTACCTGCCTAGCTCAACACAATGATCAACCACTGACCCCGCCCCCACTTTTTCACAGCTGCTCTAGAAGCTTGGCTAATGTGTCTGGTTTCAGAGATCCGGAGCCTGAATTAGCAAATCCTTGTCATTTCATTACTCTCTAAAGTGGGCAATTAGGATCTGCAATAGACCAGGCAGAGAGGAAATTGGGACAGTTTGGCTTGGCTAGGATCAGTCCCAGCAGAAGGAATTTGATGCTTTAGAACTGCTTTCTTGTGGTTTTGAACCTGGTGGTGACTTGAATAGTGAGAATGTTTGTATTTAGAAGTCTTTTACATCACAGATTGGATTTATGGTAAGATTCACAACCCAGTTAAGCTGGGCACAACTGAGTTGGTACCTACTCAGGTCCACTGAATGCCACTGAGAATCCTCATTTATGTATGGGCTGCCCGTTTTAAGAAAGGCACAGAGTTAAAATTGTTATCTCATAAGCAAGTCCTCCTAGGCTTTACACTTTCCTTAGGTTTGTTATTAAAAGCTCTTACTAAACTTCCCAGTAGCTCACTGAACCATTTCATCTCCTGTGCCAAAGTTTTTGGCTGGAATGAACATCCTATTTAAATCTCTCCCTTTCCTATTGGGCAATCTGAAATAATCGCATGCACAGGTGATCCATTTTTCTGGGCTTAAAAAAAAGTTCATTTTGTGAACAGGCTGACTAGGGTGTAATCTCTTTAACCTTAAGAGGTGAAGGCATGTCTTCCTCCAAAACATTCAGAAGTCATTAGCAAACTTCCTTCTCTTCTTTTTATTTTAGCAGTCACACTTTTTAAAATATGCATGTTTGAAAAAACAAAACAAAGGAACACTTTTAAGGAGGACTGACTTTCCTCCACTTCTCGCCATTTCTCCAGCCTAGCTGTAACAAGCAGCATTGTCATTTCCTTCGTGCTCAGGCAGGCCAGAAAACTCGTTGCTGTATGAGCTCCACAGACTGAACGGAAAATCCAGCCGCTTAATACCAGCTTGGCCACAAGGACTACTCAGCGCTGCACTCTCTTGCGCTTGTGTTCCGGCCTGGTCGTTTCAGCTGCCTTGAGTTTTCGACAAGGAGGAAGGAGCCTGCGGGGGCCTCGCAGTTGCCGCCATGGCGGCTTCAGAGAATGAACTTGCGCGCAAGGGCAGCCCAAGAAAGAAACAGCTTCCGCTCCTCCCGCGACACTTTTTCATGTAGAAGGTGGCAGAGAATGATTCATCGCTTGCATGCAATAATTAAAACAAAAGCCGGTGTCGGCGGAAAGAAACCCTCTGGAAGTGAATGGCGTTTTCTTTTCCCAGGAGTTAAGCAAGTGCAATTCAGTAGAAAGGAGGCCCAGCAGCTGACTTCCAGGCTCAGTATTCACTGCTAGCTGATAAACCTGCACCTGGCTGTATCAACTCAGTCTACAGACATGGGGCTCTCATCACAGGATGTAGTAGTGGCCACAAATCTGGACAGCTTAAAGGGGGATTAGTCAAATTCATGGAGGAACGGATTACCAGTGGCCAATAGTCCTGATGGCTCTTTGCTAGTACATCTGGTTCAAAGGCAGTATGCCTATGTACGCCAGTTCCTGCAGAAGGTGGACTGGAGAGCGCTGTTAGACGGACATGCTAGTTTTCTTAGTATAAGGTATCGTTCTTGTATGTGGGAATGTCAGGAAGAAGACACACCTCAATCATCAGTTTATCTCTGTGGTGAGGGCTAGACTACAGTCCTGGGATGGGGCTGTTACCCCTGTCCTATATCCCTCTTGCATTTTAGGGCTTTCCTGTGATTGTCAGATTAGCCTTTTCTAATTTCTAAGGTGATTTATATCTGATGATGCCTGCAAGTAAGTCCACTTTTAACATCATCTGATTAGGAAGCCTTTTAAATGAAACCTGTTTAAAGTTGGGACTGACTGGGGTTATAATGAAGAAAATCACTCTGCAGATTTTCAGTGTCACTTCATGACCTCACATGCTACCAGAGCACCCCAACATTAGGTAAACATAATTCTAGTTCATAATGAGCTGGGTTTAACACTATTGGGAGATGCTTCTGTTTTCTTTGAGATCAGATGGGTGTGAAAGAGATACTTTATATGTCATGGTTCTGAACCTAATCTCCACTGACCATGATCCAAAGAAGCCTCACCTGGTTCATGGAGATTATACTATAAGGCACTTGGCATGAAATCCCCTTGATGCTGGAGGAGAAGATGGCTGTTGGATCTCTGATCAAATTACCTGCCTGCCTAGGCTTCGTCTACAGCTCTGTCTCATCTGAGCAGGACTTACTTCCATACGAAGACAGTCAGAATGGGCCCTTAACCTCAAGCTGCAAGCACAGATGTTTGGACACAGTTGGAGATGAGAACATGAAGAGCCTCATACTACATATCTCCCCAGAATAGGGCTGACAGCCATGTAGGTAGGTCTAGGAATGCAGCTGTAGATGCTTTTCTTCCAAAGAATCCTGGCACGCAGACGTGTTGAAACATGGCATGGGATATTCTTGTTGTCTATTCCTGTCTGTAGCCAATGTGCCTTGGGTAGAAAGGTGAAGGTCAAGAAGGGGGATGTGATGGTTTCATGTGCTCTCCATTTCTCCTGTCTTGTCTGACCCTCCCTTCTCCTGCCTAGCTCTCCTCTCCTGGCAGGCCCTGCACCACAGCTGCCTCTTCCTGTGAGCAAGGAAAACTGGACAGGGCTGCAGACAGTAGTTCTTTCAGAGCCTGTCACCAGTGCTCCTTGATTGGTTGTCATAAGGAACGCAAGGAGGCTAGACCTCCCGCCTCCAAGCATGTCAGTGGCTTCCCTTTCCCTGCTGCACCCCAGAAGAGATCGACAGGCAAAGGCCAAGAAGTGTGTGTGTGTGTGTGTGTGTGCGCGCTGCTGCTGCTGCTGCTGCTGGAAAGGGATGCTCTTGGTGAGTCCCCTTGGAAACACTCCCAGGATTTCCAGCTCCAGCATGCAAGCCTTCAAAATGGCTGAGGCAGTAAACAGCCACAAGTGGTTGTTGTTCAGCCCACAATCTAGTGTATGTATTGTTTTTTAACATGGTGGCTTAAAATTCCTCCAGGAAGGTAAATCTGGTCTTTCCAGTTAACAAAAATGGTGACTTTGTTGGTCCACAAGAGCATGAAGGATTAAGATCCCTGGTGATACAGACACATGTTACAGGATCAACTGGGTTGCCTGTGGCAAAGGACCAGTTTCCTCAAAGCCTGAAATACTTCTTTTGATATCCCTGAAGAAAAGTCACTAAGCCTCAATTCAACACAAAGCTATCTCCCAAAGCATCCCTGATTTACCACCAATACATGGACAGCTGATAGATTTGGAGTGCAAGATCTTGAGATGGCCAGTTACTGAAGAGCCCATGCTGAAGTTGGCTTTGGCTGCATTCTTTGCATGTTTCTAGAAAGAAGTGTGTTAATGTGTGGCACCCCTCCCTCCCCAGTGGGAGAAAAAAACCCCACAGACCTGCTGGACAGCCATTTTTATCCTTGTATCCCAATCTTACGCATGTTTAAGTAAGTGTTCTGGTATTGCTACCTTATCTATCCATTTCCAGGAACTGTGCAGGTGGGGTTGGGGCAGAAAAAGTTCTTAGTGAAGGACAGCAGAGGGGTGAATTTCTGTTGCATGGAGAGCTTTGCTTCAGTATTAGATTTTTGAAAAATAACCATCTCTTTTACACGGTAATGCAATTAGGTAATTTTAGACTTTGGATTTGCTATCCATCCTCCATGTTGGAAAGCACTGTGTATTACTTTGACTTCGGTATATAGTAAACCAGCTCCATTGTATTTGGTGTCCAGCTGCTCATGCTGCTGAGTGTAGCCCTGGACATTTCTATCCCAAAGTGTTGCCCTGAATGCACACTGATTTCACATTCAAGCTTTTCTCCTAAGGATAAATATGCCCTGCTGATTTTGACGGAATTTAAACTCAACTTTGGGCTCCTTTAACTTGCACTCTGTGAAATAGTTGTAACTCATATGTAAAAAGTGCCTTTGTTTTAAATAATCAAATGCACTCAGTAATGAGAGAAGATGACACTACTGGGGGGCACATGGTGCCCCTCACCCACATAACCCATCTATTGCAAAGTACCCCATTTTTTCAAGTCACAGTATTCTTTTTTGTTTTTAATTTCAATTGTTAATATGTTCTAAATCCATGAAGAGCCCAGGTCTGAAGTGCATTTCTCATAAATGACACTGAGGTGGCAAACATGGATCTGAAGTACATTGATTCATACTGCAGAAGGGAACTCAGTGCTTCAGTGCTCCTCCATCAAAAACAAAAATAATCCCTACAGCAAAAAATGATGGCAGAGACAAGAGTTCTGTGTAGCCTTTCCTCCAAAATGGAGGAATCTTGTGGGGGGGGGGGGGTGAAGAAAAGCATTTTGTCCAATGAGACTCATCTTCCTGTCTGAAGTGGTACATTCAGGACAGTCTGCAGGTTGTGAGAGGTAGGCCTGAGACAGGAAGTAGGAATCCCCCTGTGCAACACACGCACACACATGCTCCTGCACAGGGGTATTCCTTTGTTCATTAAATTGTTCACCTATGCTGAGGTTGCTTCTGTCTTTAGCAGAGAATATGTTCTTCTTACCAAACTAACTGGAACAGAACTGTGAGATAACCTCATAACCTTGTACTGAACAGGTTCCATCTTAGATGGAGAAAGCAAGCCTAAGAACACAGGAAGCTTCACTCAAACCACTGGCCAGTTTTGTTAATCCTGAGGGACAGCAGCTCTCCAGCACTACCTGGGGAATGCTAGAGAAGGAACCAGTGACTTTCTGCAGGTAAAGCATATGCTCTATCACTGAGTTACAACATACACTCCCCAACTTGTACATAGTGGCTTAGGTACAGTAGCAACTCTCCAGCAGTGCCTATAGAAAGACATTTGGCTCTTTTGCCTTTGTTCACTCAAGCTATGTGACAGAGCCAGAGAGTGAGGGTTAATTTCATTTAATGAATTTGCATGTTGTTAAGGTCCCCTCAAAAGAGAGAGACAATTACATCAGTAAATTTTACATTATATATGATTCAGTTTGGATTATTGAACTATGTACACACATGGAATAAAACAGAACTTTCTTTGACAAGACTGCCCATTATAGCTTTTTTAAAGTGCACAAATGTTTGGGGGCTAGACAGAGATGTTGTGGTCTCTTAGTTGTAATGGTGCGTGCATGTGTGCGTGCGAGATATGCCTGACAAACACTGAAGCAAGATAGACTAGCTGATGTTCCACTAGAACTGCAACTAGTGAGCATTTAAATGCCATGGCTCCCACGCCTACTTGCATCTATGCACAAGTTAGACCATTGATCTCAGTGGAATGTACTTCCAAGTAAATTTGCCTAGGAGTATAGACAAGACCTGTGACTTTCCAAAATGGAACACAGTCTGTGTTAAAACTTGCTGCTGCAGTTGGGTGGACTGTTTCAGGCACTAGAGCCAGAAAGCTGGCTTCTGATAGCGAGCACACATTTTGATCACTTTGTGCTGTAAAAGTCATGCATTTCTCCATCATTAAGAGAACAGCAAGAATTAGTTCAGAAAATACAAGGAATTCTAGCTCAATTTCCCTGTGCCACTGCAGCCAGGTGTATGCTTAAAAAAATCTTCATTTCACCTAATGTCTTTTGTTTTCCTGATGGTCAAATCAGGCGTGCAAGACTGGTCAGACCCTCAGTATAAGGCCAAGCCAAGGTGGCCTTGTTTTGTTATTCAGATTTCTACACTCGCATTAAATCCGCTCCCAGGAAGAGACGGCAACGGCTTGATTTAAGGCACACTCAAGCAGGGCCATTCAGAGCTCAGGGTAGCGCTGGGTTATTTATAGGCTTTTTCCTCGTCGCTGTGCGCCCTCGTATCAGAGCAGAGCGCTAATGAATTTAATCCTGGCGACACCCTTAGGAAGGAGAAAAGGACTGAGTCACGGACGGAGGTTGAGCAGGCCCAGGGCCTCCAGCACGCCGAAGCCTTCTTGATTGATTACGTGCCTTGGTACGAGACCAGCCTGCTGCTTCGCGAGGCAGGAGACGTTGCTGCCTGGAAAAAGGGGCCAGCCGGGAACCACGTGGAGATCAGGAAGGGCCGGGCCGTGCGAAACCGTCTTGCCAGTTACAAGGAGCGAGGAGGCTGCTCCGGCGGCGGCGGCGGCAGCAGGTACCAGTTCCCTCCGTTCTGCGGCGAGGCCTTCTGGCCCATCCTCAGTGGCGGCGATGTCTTCAGGCGGTTGTTAAACGCTC